TGTTGCCTCCTGCTGGTTCTCACTAGAAACACCAGTTTCCTGGGTAAGCATTAAAAAATATAACACATCTCCTCTACCACTGAGCCTATATTTGTACTCGGCTAAACTCAAAGAACTTAAGGAATGTACGCAGAATCCCTTCTTCAAAAATTCTATACAGGTTCGGTATGAGGTTCATAAATACAGAGATGAAACTAATACTATCCCAATTTTCGCCAATCTAAGGCAACAGTAACTTTACACCTGGTAAGAAAGACATGGACTTTAAATTCTGGGCCGATAAAGGCTTATGTAAGATTGGAGATTTATTCGATACAATATTCTTATGTCTTTCCAAGATTTACAACGGAAATATGACAGACTAAACACCTATTCAAGTTCCTGCAGATCATAAGCTTCATATCCAAGACGCAAAAATCCTTATCCACTCCTTCTCTCACAGGGTTCCTGTTTCGCCAACTCAAATTTAAGACTTTTTAAGACCTTTTTAAGACCACTTTGAATAGAATTAAAGACCTATTTCACGGCAAGAAAGTATGAAGGAAAATTGCTATGAAAGAAGAAATACTTCCCATAATTACTTGCAAAGTAAATTAATTCATGTTCAACATGAGAACAATGACTGACATAACAGCATAACAGCACAGAACTGTGCCAAAAAGTGTGTGTGTCTCTTTGTGCGAGTTAGGGCTTTGCAATTAATCATATTTTAAAATCGCAATTACGATTTTGGCCTGCCACAATTACAAAAACAACGTAATTGAAAAAAACTATTATTTAGCTTTGCTAGGTTCTGACAGTGCACTACAACACATTTGATCTAATTCATTTTAGTCTCATTTATTTTTAATTTATCGTATTTATTTATGTTTAGTAGCTTGTGGAAGTGCGCTCCAAAACATTTGTTGATCTTGTTTATTGGTATTTATTATTTGGATATTATTTATTTAAATATGTAAGTTATTTAATTTATTTTTGTATTGGTTTTTCAGTTGAATTATACATTCAGGGTAATCAACAGTTAAAAAGATCCTGTTCAAATTATTATTTGTTTTAAAGTTGAATAAATGGATGGTTTCAAAGTCAATGAATAATCGTATTGTGTGTGTGTGTGTAACAAGAGCTATATTCAGAGCTCTGCTGCCTTGGCTACACTATTTCATCGTTGCTGTTGCATGATTGGTGTTTAGCTACGGTATTTAGCTACAGCACCTCCGCTTTTAGGGTTGACGTAGACCCAAACGTCGCCCGGAGGTCCCCCGGTGTTTTTGCGGGAGCTGCTAACTAGCTAACGCTACATTAGCAAAACAAACGCTAATTTATTTTGCAAAAGGTGCAGCGTGCTTCAAACACGTTCCCCTCCACTGGTTTCAACCAAGCACTCAATTTAAATAGCGTAATGCTAAAACCGGAACGGGTAAATGTTTTTGGCTCATTAACTTTTTTTTGATAATAAACGAAACCGATCGCAAGACTGCGACGGTGATGTGGTAAAACAGAATAAGTAAAACAGAGTAAATAAAAAGAAATAGCAAAATAAATACAATCATCGGAACACCTTCACACGGCGGGTTTGTAAACAAACTAGAAACAAATAACCATAAATAAATAACCTAATAAAAAATAAAATAGACCATTCAATAAATTTAAATAAAAACATAACGCAAAAGGTCAACTAATAATGTAAGTCCCATTAGTTGTCAATTTTTCTATGACAAGTTTAGATAAGTTATTTCACAATAGTTAATAACTGAGTTTATAAGCACTAATACTAAAAACGGTATTAGCCTCGGTCGGGATCGACACCACACAACACACACACACCACACACACCACACACACCACCACACACACACACACACCACCAACACACACCACACACAACCAGACACACACACTCTCTGCCTCTCTCCTCTCTCCATTGTTAGCGATATAAGTCTCGGAGACGGACGGAACCCGATGTAGAAAGTAACAACGGGCAACATACTACCACAAATTGAGACATAAACGGTTAGTGGAGGCGGAAAAAGCCGGCACCGCTGCCATCTGGTTTGCAGCGGCCCTCCAAGGAGGCCTCAAAAACCAACGCCACTCGACGAACGACGGTGATCGTTGCGGGACGGTGATCGATTGCGATGTAATCGTTTTGTTTGCGGATTAAAGAGAACGTTTTCCACGTCGCCCGAAGTTTGTGCGAAGGGGAGGTGACCAAAGTTGGTTCGGTGATTTAAGGCTACAAAAGGTTGGTTTATGCGCAACTTAGAATGTGAAGGGGTATAAAAAACATTCATCCTAGAGCTTTCTCTGTGACCAAAGACTGACGGGCGATCGAACTTCGACCCAGCGAACCAATACGACACCCGACAGAGGCTATTCCCCG